AAAACATGTATTGTAGAAAATTTAGTTACCTTTCTAGAAATCTTAGAAAATTAAGTTGTTTTAGGTCTATTGCAATATTGTAGAAAACAGTTTTAATAAACTTCAATTCCTATGCATGCCCATGAGTATAACATGTACCTACTATTTTTATGTTCTATACTTATATTTGCCGCTTACACGTAAACAAAAATTGTTTATCTCTATGCATATACAGGTGCTTGCACCTAGATGCAAAGTAAAATTTTTATATTATTATAATGATTGTATTAGTATTAACTGTATGATGTATATTTGTATGATAAATTAGATATGGTAAATGAATAAATAAATAAATAAATCGCTATTTTTCAAAGGGTTAAATGAATTCAACAAACTGTCTATGCATATAAAATCATCTGTATCTTTATCTTCTTTCAAATCATCATTATCGAAGTATGTTGTTCCCAATCTGTAGTAAGTATTCAGTACTATTTGTGCTGTTATTAGCTCGATTGTTTAGGTATCTGTAGACTAGCTATATATCTTCTCTTTTCATTTTAGTATTATTTTCAACGGTTTTTGAATATCTGACTTGTGTAAACATAACTTCAAATTGCTGTTGGCAACCTAGTATTTATTTTGTCAATTTTATACATGTATATCGTGGGACATCTCACGTAATGACGTATCTCATAAAAATCGGAATCTGAGATACTTCGTCAAGTGATTTATATTCTTGTACTTCATGATCTCATCACAAAGTGGCGTAACTCAATATTCAATGGTTTTCGTGCAATTGAGAATCTAATACCCAATCTCAAATTATTGGACTACCGAATCTAACTATAGGAGCTACGTCAGTTCGTGAGATATATTTCCATTATGTGTTGAAAATGTTCAAAGTGACGTATCTCACATAGGGTTTGTCGCGGAAATCAAAATATCTTGGGTATATCAAGGTACTGAAAGGAGGATTGTACAAGTGGAATGAATTTCTGTGTTTTTATCAACAAAAATGGCTATTCAGACCTGTTATTCATTTGAATTCACTCGATATCCATGGGTGTATCTGAGGCTCTATTAACAAACATGATCTCACGTAGTGACGTATCTCATAACTTTTTTTTGTTTTGTTTTTGGGGATGCTTCTTCGAAATCTCACCATATCATGACAACTAGTTCCAGTTCATCCACTGATAAATGAAAAAATGATGATCTTTCATGAACAACCCTCTGAAATATGAGTTAATTAAGATGTTGAAAATCTTTGAACTGCTCTGCTGTGAAATTAGGAAAACTGAGATACGTCACTACGCGAGATGACCGTCGATATGTGTGATGTTTGTTGTTTCATGGATGTTCGAGATGTTTGTATATTAGGCTTTCCTATTTTTAATAAACTACTACTACTACTACTAATTGTTGTCATGTCAATCAAAACACAAATCAGTTAGTCTAATTCTCAGAGTAACAGACAAAGCGTTAATGTCATTTACGAATCAGTGGAATTGCGATGAAAAACTTCCAGCTACAGATGCGATACAGATGATTTATTGCCAATAAAGTCTCAAGAAAGGTATGAGAAGCACTACACGGGATTTATTGAATGGTGCAATAGTAAAAGAGTAAAAACACATGAAAAACACCAAATAAAGAAGGAGTTTTTTTGGCTCATTTCCTATAAATTTCTGAATCCTAGAGACCAAACACGTTGGGCATGCTGGCTTCCGCAATAAGCTTACCTACATGATGCTTCTAACGGTACACACAATAGATATATCACTAATTATTAGAATATAGAGAATATATCACTATTGTTAGTTGTTCCTATTTGCAGGAATAAATGATTGAACCACACCAAATGCTGCCAGGATTACAACCAATCACACATTTCCATGTAAAATCGCAATTTTCTATATCATTGCAGCGACACCCTAAGGACGGGTTCTCCACAATATATTCGGAACCGTTTACGCTGAAATATTTGAATTTGTTTCACGTAAACATTTAGCGCAGAACTAGATCCTTAGCACAAAATTTCAAAAATTTCATCAGTTCATGTTGTAGTATTGATTTAATCTCCAGGGTTGTCTAGAAGACTGAATAATGTTTTTCGTAGTAATGTGGTACTTTGGGTATATTTTTGGCATTGATATGATTTCAAATACAATAAAACAGATCGTTTCCCAATTTCGTATTTATAATATTTCTTCAGAATGAATGGAAATATTCATTTGTTGAGATATTGTAATTTCCGTAAAGTTTGAAAAAACATTATACAGGGTGATTCACATAAGAACCGACATAGAGCAGGGGCATGTAGGGGGTCCCAAAATATGGCAATTTAACGCAACTTACCTCTATACCAAGTTGCTTCCCTAAGGAGTTATAGGCTTTGGAAGTGAAGTTGTAAATTTTGAAAAAAAAATCAATATCTCCGTTATTCTTGAACTTAAAGCAACCAAATTTGGTACACTTCGTGGATGTATTTAGGAAGTTACTTGACAGTAACTAGAGTTCAATTGAAATTTGTTAAGGGGGTATACCGGGTGGCGTACCATTAATATTCAACATAATTTTGTTAACCCTTGATGGATTTGAAGGATCTTCGCTTTGTTTTGTGGGAAAATTAATTCTAAAACTTTTCTTAATCTAGTAATTTCTCTAAAAACCTCATCATTTTCATCAAAAACTCGAATAACTGAAAACGCGTGCTCTAGGTGTGTTATTTAAAATCATCGAAAATTCGAAAGTTGGCTATGAAAATAAACGTCAAACTTGACAATGAAGCAAGTAATTTGTTCAAATAAGTATTTTATCGATAAACAATTGTTTGTTCTGGATGTTGTTTAAGTTTTTTGTGTTTATTTTGGTTAGTTGTTCATCCCAGTTTTTGACATTTCAGTCCTTACTTTACGTATTTTGTTACGTATCTAAATAATAATTTGCCAGCCAATTTCTACTGATCACAATAAATGACCTACTTTCTTGTTGTACGTTTATTTTCATAGCCAACTTTTGAATTTTCGATGATTTCAAATAACACACCTAGAGCGCGCGATTTCAGTTATTCGATTTTTTGATGAAAATGATGAGGTTTTTCGAAAAATCACTGGACTGAGAAAAGTTTTAGAATTGAATTGCCCACACAACAAAGCACATTTTTTTGAAATCCATCGAGGGTTAACAAAATTCTGTTGAATATGAATGGTGCGCCACCCGGTATACCCCCTTCACAAATTTCAATTAAGCTCTAGTCACTGTCAAGTAACGCCCTGAATACATCCACATTGACCAACTTTGGTTGCTTCAATTTTTTTCAAAATTTATAACCTCACTTCCAAAGCCTATAACTCCTTAGGGAATCAACTTGGTATAGAGGTAAGTTGGGTTAAATTGCCATATTTTGGTACCTCCTATATGCCCCTGCTCTATGTCGGTTCTTATGTGAATCACCCTATTGAATGAATATGTTTACTTCTTTACATTTCATGGTTTTTTGGGTATACCGTCGCTCGCACAGCACTTTGGAAATTGCAAATTTGGTTTTCAATATTGGTTTAGGTCCTAACAACATATAAAAATTCAGAATGATCGGACCTTTTGCAATCACGGATGTACATCTTGATTGGACTAACGGTCTCATATATGGCAATGATTTCATTTTTCAACTTCTAACGATTGAACACCGAAAAAATTCAAGGACTATTCCTTCTGATATTTTCGGAAATATATATAGTTCATATGAATATGTGTCCTAACTTGTTTTGTTTTCGAGATACAGGGTATATCAATGTTTCCATGAAGAATCGTTTTTTTATTTATCACTCAATTGTCTTTCCATCAATTTCAATGAAACGTTGTGGTTTTGTCAATAGTAATATGGAGCTTCTTCTGGTACAATTAGATTCGAAATAATATTTACAGTGGCGTTACAGTGGGTAAATTTATTTGTTTGTTTCTGAGTTTCATATCTTTATTGTTCAATAATCTACCACCTCATATAAAAATTATTGACAGTTTATATGTATTCAAAAAATCATTGAAACAGTTTCTTACAGAAAAGTGTTACTACTCAGTCAGTGAATATCTCAATGAATGCTGGTAACCATACAATTTTGAGTGTTAATCGAAGTGTTTTTAACGATTTAAATTCTAGTACTGTAAGAACTTTTTAATATAATTCTATAAATGTTTTCTTAGAAACAAAGAATTTCTCATAGGGAAGTGTGATTACTTAGTACCTGCATATCTCAGTGAATGTGAATGTGTAACTGTTGAATTTTAACTTTTAATTGTAGTGTTTGTAACCGTTGTAATTTTAGTTCTGTGACAACTTTCAATGCAATTGTTTAATTGTCAAATTAGAAAGAATAAAGAATTTGAGTTAAATAATTACTCTTTTATCCTTTGTGTAATTTTAGTATTTGGCTTATTTTTCGAGGAAACAATGAAAATTCCAAATGACTCCAAATTTCACTGAAGGTGTTTTCAAAACCCAAGCACAATCATTTTGAAATTTTAGGGCTTCCTCAGTCTCCCACTATACTGAATTTTGGCACCATGGAAGCTTATACAGGGAGGTTATAAATACAAACAATTGAAAGTTCCAACTGCAACATCGCTGTATCTCAAAAACGGGGCAACTCAGATACATTTTTATATGAACTTTATTTGCTAGAATATCACAAGAAATCACCTCTTGAATTTTTTCGGTGAAATTTAGATGCACCCTGTATACAAGATTTGGATTTCTTGCAGCAATGACATTCACTAAATTAAATTATGACAGCAGTATTCCACAAAAGTCAAAATATCAACGAATGCTATGCCTACCAAGAAAAATAGAAAGAAAATACTAGGAGCGATGAATTTTTAAAATCGTTTCTTCATTATAATAAGATGATTTTCTCGTGAAAAATATAATCTTATATGCACCCTCCGTGCGTTAGGATCTATACAAGAATAGTAATTTCTATCATCTAAAATAAAGAGGGTTGCTACGAAATTCAGATACTCACCACCCCTTTTCACCCCTCTTGCTTTGAATTCTTTATAGAAATAATCAGATATTTTTCCAATTGCTATTCCTTTCGGAAAGAAGCTCGTGTTATTGCCAGTAGGAAACGTTGGTTCCAAATAAGGAACATTTCTTCTCTTCCAGTAGCCGTATTTGTATTTTACAAATAAAACGGCTACTATGCCCACACTTGCAAACAATATCGCGATTTCTGTCAACATCTTGATGCCGCGATAAAACAAATTGAATGAAATTTGATCAAAGGCTTGTTTATATATATGTTCAACGATTACAAGTGTCGGAGTATTTAGAGAGTCAATAGTTTTAAAATGCGAAGTCATCTTCTATCCTTCGTCATTCTGAGAAAGTCATAATCATCTCTTCGATCAATGTCTATCAAGTTATTCCTCGTTTATACGGTAGAGATAATACTTATTTGTTTGAGTGCATTTTTTCAGTGTCGTTCCATCCTCTGATGGGCGCTTATAATTGGCGCCCGAGGGCTTATTAATGCCCAGAGGAGCATAGGGTTGCCACCTCTCAGATTTTCAGCCGGAGTCTCCGGGTTTCAGTAGGGCTCCTACGGGCTTCGGGTGGGATACTTAATTCTCCGGGGCAGTCCGGGCACGAAAAAATCATTTTGTGGAGGAGAAATCGAGCGGAAGTAAATCTAAGGCGGATTTATGCACGAAATTGAATTTCGAAATGTCTTGTTCGCAGTTTAACGACTATTTGGCAAAAACCAAACAAAAATTCTTATCAATATCATGCAATTTGAACATAAAATATAAATTCAAATTCAAAGATTGAGATATTTTATTTTTCTATACATAGGACTTGCCTGTTTTATTTGTTTTTCTATAAATATTTTTTTGTTCATGAATTGTTGTTTTGTTGCCATATCATGTTTTTTCTAATTCTTTGCGAATTTTTTTTCGATTATGTTTAATAATAGTTATTTATTATACAAGGGAAAAAAGTAGTAGATTTTAGCTCCAGGTTGTGTTGTCTCCCGACGCGTAGCGGAGAGAGACAAAAAACCGTGGGCTAAAATCTAATATTTTTTCCGTGTATAATACACTATTTTTTTCTGTGACAGAAGAAAGGATGAATCAATATTGAGAAGACATTACATTATCTTGAAATCTGAAAATTATCGACGTGAAATTTTAAGTTTTTAACAGTAGGGACACCTGCGTTGTAGGCATCTTCATCATTCTCTTGAAGTCAAATATCTGATGTCACTTCTGTCAGTCTAATTCTGTGATTTGATTTTTAAAAATTGCGAATTTAGTGGTTGTTTAGTAATATACGTAACCGCGAAGCCCTCAGGGGCTCACAACTTGTGAGTACGGGAATGGTGAACCTGAGGTCCCCTAGCCGGATATCCACCATACTTCAACTTGTCTTGGGTGATATCCTCATCTCTCTTCCTTTTTCAATCTATCTATCGGCCTTTCTTGGCCTACTTCTCTTTTCCTCCTCCTCTCCAAGCCCAACCTCACCATCAAGTGGTGTGGGGAGGACAGACCGCGGCCGCTCAACGGATGAAGCATTTTGGGACCATCTTTGCTATCTGTGGCAGGGATGGGACGATTTGCTGATGTCTGTCTAGATGGTCGAGGACTGGTCAACAAGGCTCTGGCAACCTAATCCAAGCTGTGGGAACCCGTGGTAATGGATGAATGGCACCGAGGTATGATGTCGCTTACGGGACCTCTGGGAAACAGGGCGACATCTCAGAGTAAGTAGCCTTAGCCCTGTGCAGGGGGCACCACAGAGCTGGACCAACCCCTTCCCCCGTCACTCGTAGGAGAAGGAAAACTTTTGGCCTTCTTCGTAGACGAGAACAGGGATCGGAAGAGCAATCTTCAGGAACCTGAACGAAAAGGGTCTTTCATATTGAAGGGACCCTTAAGAGGCACCATGAGTCGTATATGGTAAAATTGATAACGGCATGTAGGTAAGATACAATGGACCACTAGGTCTAAGTGTCGTCGGAGACTTCGGTCAGACGAGCCTACAAACTGGGTGGAATGTTTAGTGGGTATACCTGGAGTCAGGGGACTCCCACACTATCATATGGGGGATTGGACCCATATGGTGTCCATAAAGGATTTCAACCACCTCGATGAAAAAAAAAACTGAAAATTATCGACGTGAAATTTCAAGTTTTTAACAGTAGGGACACCTGCGTTGTAGGCATCTTTATCATTCTTTTGAAGTAATCAAATATCTGATGTCACTTCTGTCCTAATTCTGTGATTTGATTTCAAAAAATTGCACTTTCAATGGTTGTTTAGTAATATACGTGACCGTGAAGTTGAATGGAAGATAAAAGGACTTGCAGTTCTTTCTCGGAGACGATATTATTGACTTTTTCGGAACTATAGCACAACAAAAGCCATCAACAGTGTATATATATGTGATATATATCCGGGAAAAATGTACTCCCTCTTTTTCCACGGGAAGAAAGTAATCTATGAAAAGTGACTTTTTATAACCTGCCAACAGAGATGAAATGCCAAACTTTTTTCCCGTCACAGAAAGAAATATTTTTTTAAACGGATCACCTTGTTCCTTATATTTTTTTTCGAAATCTGTGATTTTTTGTGATCACATAAATTTACAGTGTGTCTCACTTTTAATGGAAACACTCCTGTGTCTAATACGTTATAGGGTAAGGAACCTAAAATTTGCTGGGAGCGAAAGATACATCAAAAATGCACTCTATGACCAAGTGAGGTCATCTTCAGTGATATACACTGCTCACCAACAGCCATGGAACCACCCCAATTTCTAGAAAATGATATCAGGAGTCGAAATGGGTTGTAAATCACTTCGAATTCGGAAACAGGACGCCCAATACACTAACTATTCATATCTTTCTGAAAAATGTTCAGTACTTTTCATGGAAACACCCCCGAATCTTACGTCCTCGTTGGATGGAAGAGGGTGTGACATCCAATACCCTCAAGAATTGAATGTATGGGCGGGTAAGATTAGAAGAGTTATCATTGGACCTTTTTTCATGAGAGAAAATTAGAATGTAAACTACTTACCAGATGAAGTGGGACAGCCAAAAAATTGTCTAATTTTGATAAGCTATATCTCGAACATTTCTTGGCAGATGTTGTATTTTCAACCAAAGGTAGAAAGCGTCATCCTTGGGCTATGCGTCATTGGCGTCGAGTTTTTATTTTTGCGATTCGTTCTCTTCGTACAGAGTGTAAATTAAGAGCCGGAAAAATTTCAAATTTTTGACCAATGATTTGGGAAATGTGAGGGACCCTAGAATCAGTTTTTTGATGTTGGGTGAATGGTTGGTTCGATACCTCGAAACGTCTTTGCAATTGTTTTGATAAATTGCGTTGCTATGGAAAATTCCCCACACGGAAAAAAAGGATTTGTTGCATCAACAAATTATTTATGCTTGAGTTATTTTTGTTGGACTGAGCAATTTTTTGTTGAATCAACCAGATACATGATTATTCCATGGAAGCAGCTCGTTCAAATCGAGAATGTAGTCTTATCGAATCAACAGTATAATACAATTCCATCAACAAAATATATGGTTTCTTCAGAAACAAATTATGTCGATCCAAAATAATGTCGATGTTGATTCAACTATAAACATTTCGTTGATTTGATCAAACAATGATCATTTTGATGAGAATATATCTTTGAAACAACATACAAGTTCTTATTCCGATGTATCAATGAACTCGTTTCGAACGGATTATTTGCTTGAATAGATCAACGAAATATGTAATATCAATGAAATATTTTGTTCATTCTACATCAACTTAAATTTTCGCCTCTAGATGGCGATCATTTCGCCTCGTCTATGCCTGCCTCGAGTTCATCATATACGTGAAGCCTGATTCTTCGTGTTTGTTATATCAGCTGGATAAGTCGAACTTAGGATCATTAGCAATCCGAAATAGTTTTCCATTAGCTAAAGAAAAGTAAAGACTAAAGATCTATGCTAGGAGTCGACTAGTTTCATAGTTTTTTTTATTCTATTCCCGAATATTGAATTTGGTTCAACAAAACAATATGTCGAATGGATATATAGTTTTTCTTGAATCAACAAAATATTTCATTGAATTAACCAAATATTTCATTGAATCAACCAAATATTTCATTGAATCAAACAAATATTTCTTTGAATCAACCAAATATTTCGTTGAATCAACTAAATATTTGATTGAATCAATATCTTGTTATTTTTAATCAAACAAAATGTTTGTTTGAGTCAATTCACTATCTCTTCATAAACAATTCATGGATGTGCTTGATTGAAGAAGATTCAGAGTTTATGCAAGACTTATTAACTTGATTCAAACTTCAAATTCAATATGACACTTCTATTTGCTCCATTCAATTAAATTTTGCTTGATTCAACAATTTCTTTTTTCCGTGCATTTTTTGAAATTTTATTTTTATTCTGAAATATGGCCTGTTTTCGTTAAACAATAACAGCCAACATTTGAACTGCAACAAGGGATATTTCTACTGAAGATAATTAACACCAGTGGCGCGCAAAAAGGGGTTGATGATATTTAGAAACGAAAAATTCGTTTTTATTGAAAAACTTCAACAGTTTTATTGATCGTTTCAGTTGAAGAGGTGGCATATCCTTGATTAGCATGATGTTGACAAATTCAGAGGCGCGCAAAATATGGGTTCATGATATTTGAAAACGACAAAAAAGTTTCAATTGAAAAAAATCAACAAGATTTTTTGAAATTTTTCCTGACAAAATTATCAAATTGTACAGCTCGAGAAACATCAGAAGCCAGAATTACGTTTCTGAATTTTCATTTAAAAATAATGATACAAGAAAATTTTCACTGGGCGAACAAAGAACAACACTTGAAGGAATTATTAAAAATGTTATCATATCAATCTTTTTGAATCACCTTGAATGATGGATCCTCTTTAATACGCCAATGGATCACTTGGATGCTCACCTTGAATAAGTAAAAAACAATGATAATGAGACTGAAATTTTGATTTGTCACGCACGCCTCTAAATTTGTCAACATCATGCTAATTGAATGTATGGCAACTTTTTAACTGTAACGATCAATGAAACTGTCGATTTCTGCAATAAAAACGTTTTTGTCGTTCCTAAATATTATAAACCCTTTTTTTGCGCGCCTCTGAATTTGTCAACATCATACTAATTAAGGGTATGACACCTCTCCAACTGTAACGATCAATAAAACTGTTGAATTTTCTCAATAAAAAAGAATTTTTC